TCCGCTCTGAAGGGAGCGGACGGGGCCCGGGGCCCGGCCCTTCAGCCGCCCGTGCAGATCACTACCCCCCGATAACCTGGGTATCACGCGACTAAGTGTGCGAGAAGCTCCAAACCGGACTCGAAATGGAAGCGCTTTTTTATTTTTTGCTCCGGTCCCGCTCTGTTACAGTTATTTCCCCTTAGTTTCCCTCTCCTTTAGTGCCTTTAGCGGCCGTTTCTGGGTTTCAGTGGCTTCAGAGGAGTGAAGTAAACAGAATGAGGTGGAATCCTCTGACCCAAAGGTCACTATTGCACTTACTTTCAACAAGCTTCAACTTTGAAACATTCATCAGAAATTTGCCTTTTTAAAAACCAGGACTGCTTTAAAATTAAAAATATATTTCCCCTATATTCATTCTGTTCTCAGGATCCATAGCAAACTTGCTTCTCCTGTGTTAAAAATGTGAATGTTCATTAAGTCATATATTCCTGTATAACTCTTAAATGCATAGGAGTGTTTAAGCCATGATCCTTCATAACAGTAATAAGCATCATAGTGTTTTTTTTTCTCTTTCCCCTTAAGTAATTATAGTAGTAAACTAGAGTTCTAGATCAAAGTGTTAGAGTAGCTTGTAACATTGTTGCTATTAGTAACAAACTATGTTTTAGGAAATCAAAACACTTCAGAATTTTGGGATATGACTAGACCTGTATTATTTAAATTTTCATGTCCACGAGGATTTTTTTTTCATCTTTGAAAATGAGGAGTTCTTAAAAGAATTGCTATCTTGAAATTCTTTACATCCAATGCATTTGCAAGTTTCAATGCAGTGCAAATACCCTATGTGGATATACAATTAAAATGAGCAGCAATTTGTAACGGCATGATTTTTAGTTGAAGTCTTTGAGGGAATATTTGCTACCATCACAGATCATCTCAGCCAATGTGCTGAAATATAGCTGCTTTTCTAAAATAATGGAAAAATGTATTGTTAAAAAGTAAAAAGAGTATTGCTCTATCACACTGAAACATGCTTATGTTTTGTATTGTAGGTATGTCTGATAAAAAGTGTAATAACAGGTGAAAATAGCTGATGCTCTCTTCACTCCAGTTACTGTATCAGGAAATGGATTGGGACCAGTTTGACTTGAACCCTAAAGTAATTGCTGCCCTTAAGAAAGGTAACTTAATCTGCAAATGTCTAGCTAATAGGACTTCCTTTATATAATTGCATGTTTATAGATGTAAGCATGTATACATAAACCAGCATTTTCAAACTGTAATTAATTATTTCATAAGCCACTCTTGTAAGTAATTAGAAGCAAAAGCTTCTCGCCATGATTCCATGATTACAAACAATTTTATAGTATATTTTGATACACTCAAAGTAAATGTTGCCTGCTTAGAGTCAATTAAGTGGGTGAGTGGGTGAACTCTATGTACATGATTAATAGGAAGTGGGAAAATCTTTCTTTTGTGCATAATAACTGTAATTCAACCGAAAGTATTTATAAGAATTCCTCTGATTTCAGCTGGCATAAAATCAGTGAAAGAGACTTTAAATCTTTCTGAAGCAGACTTGCAAAGATTGACGAAACTCTCCAGTGCAGATATACAGTATTTACTGAAAACAGTCTCTCGCATGGTGAGGAAAAATAGTATGATTACAGGTAATACAGCTAATCTTAAAAAAAAAAAAAGTCTTCTGTTTAAATCATCAAATGCATTGCAACTGGAAGAAGGTGTAGTTTTGGTTTCTAGTTAGTGAGTAATATGATTTCATAACAATTCTGAAAGTGAAGAGGCAGGTATTTTGGTTTTGCTGTAGTAACTTAATTAATTATCCTAAGGATGGCCTTAGGTAGATAGAAGTGGACTGCAGTCATTCTTCAGGATCAAGCCTGTTTAAAATCTGACAAAATAATTGGTTAAATTCAATTATGGGAAACACAAGAAAGGAAAAAGAAAGAAATGAAAAAGGTCTAAAAGGTGACAGGACCCAATGTAAGCTGTTTTTGAACATGGCATACATATAATAGATTGTGCATGAGAAGAGGGTGGGAAAGACCAGGCTAAACTAGATTTTTTAGATTAGATTTTAAATTTCCATCAATGAGGAATGTACAGATACAGACCTGATGTATAGCCTCTATTTTGTATCACTGTGTGTTAGAGAGATGCTAAGGGGAATGTTTTCTTTCCTCCCTTCTTTTCCCCCGTCATCCTTCAGCACTTCAGCTCTACCGAGACCAACACCACCTCACCTCCCAGCAGCAGAAGCTCAGCCTGGGCTGCTCGGTCCTGGATGAGCTGTTAAAAGGTGGCATCCCCTTGGTGGGAATCACAGAACTGGCTGGAGAAAGTTCTGCTGGGAAGACTCAGATCAGTTTGCAGCTGTGCCTGTGTGTGCAGTATCCTTACAAATATGGTGGATTAGAGTCTGGTGAGTACTGAAATGTATACACTGGTTTATTTGCCTTTTGGGAGAATATGCTGCCCTTAAGAGCATGATCTGCACGTTGAAGTTAATGTTTTTGTGCACGTGCAAACAGCATAGGAAAACCATCACTGCCACAACTGTTTATCGACTTCTCAAGTCACACCAGAACCCAAAGCTTGTCAAACTGGTAATCTTCCACAAACATCTGGTGTGTGGTATATATTCCCAGTTAGAAGTTTTAAATTTCAAATAATAGTTACATTGATTACCCTAATTAAAATGATTTGCAGAGTAAAATTGATAGAAATCTAGTTGAGGAAAGCAATGTTTTGTATATGCACTTGTCCGATTTTTGTGAAAATAGGTAGATTTTTTCTTTGAATATGGCTTTTAACTGTGCCTATCACCTTAATGCGACTTCTGATATTTTCTTTTGAATATTTTTGTTTCTAAAATCTTTCCTTTAGAGTTACAAAATCACAAAATTGTAGTTCTTGGTGCGTGGAGATGGTGGCTGTTCTTGGCACTATTGTGACCACTTCACTGTGGTTGCATCCCCCATTCACCCACTGCCAAATGTGTCATGAAACACCAGCGGGTAGGATGGTTACCCTGTCAGTGCATTGTTGGGGGAGAGGAGCAGAGCGTTTTTGGAAGACTGGGAGGACAGAACTTCTGAGGATCTTGATTGGCCAAATAGATTATAGTATAAGTACATCAAGATGCCCTTGTTTTTAGAAACAGTTAAGGAATGGTACCTGTCTTTGTGAGATGCATTAGCAGGAGATGCAGCATAGCAGATTATCATCGTAGGGCATCAGAGCAGATCTATGTCAAGCTGAAATTTAAAATTCTGTTTCATGGTATTACAACCAATATATTGGATTTATTGAACTGTTTTGTAAAATTAGAGTACCCCAGAATGAAAGAGGAAAGAAAAGGATGCCAAATTGGCGGGTGTTGCACAGCCTTGTTTCTTTTACAGTTCATCAGTGAGAAGGGTTGTGTTTCACATATAGAAATACAGGAAATAAAGTAATGAAGGACTTTTTTCTTTAGAAAACTTGGAGAAAGGACAACAGTGATGCTTACTAATTATTGCAGATGTTTAGCTCAGTCAGTAGAAGATAAAATCCTTGCTAAGAGTTTGCTAAATGATTAAATTTATGGAACTGTTACTTTTTGGTGCTAGAAACTTTTTCCTTGTCTTAGGTGGTGATGTTAAAACACATTTCTTGCAACAGTAAAGATTTATTGTGCATTTACTTCATTTGACTTTGTGTTATCCTTGTTTACAGTTTTCTGTGCTAGGAGGTTGGCAGCAAACCAAAATTGGGGCATCCTTTGCCTCCAGGTTATCTTTGTGCCATTCTAAGAATGTCAGTTATGGTCTGTTGCATATTGGCTGAATTTACATGCCCATATTTATAAGTAATACATGAATATAATGTATTATGTGACAAATTCATAACTACATTAGAATTTTGAATTGGAAAAGATGTTTGCTACTTATTCTTGCTAACAAAGCCAGTTTTGTGCATGGTAGATCATGTTTCTAGGACTGGAAATGCTTCTGTTCACTTATTTGAAGATCATTTACAAGTTCTGAGATTTTTTTTTTTTTTGTCAGCTACCGGTATAGTACTGTCATCACAGTAAAGCACTGAAATGCACTAAAAGAGTTAGTTTCTCTTTTCTTTCGTAGCCCTTCCATGGGGAAGGATGCATGTGTGATCATTCAGGACAACTTCCTCGGAGTGACTCCTAGCTTCCCCTTCAAAAGAGATAAATACCCAGACTCTGAATTTGCTGCCAGTGTTGACAGCTTCTTAGTAAACTGTAAATAGCATGACACCATTTCTTTTTGTGGCACTAGTGTCCTCTTTTTATTTAGGTTATGACAATTTACCTATCACCAAGATAACTGAACATTAAGTGCTTTGGCTTCATGATTTGACATTTGTCTTTATTATTGAGCTCACTTGTCAGTCTTGAACTGACAACCTCTAACTTGAGCTGCTGTAACTTTGCTACAAAGCACCTCTTGTATTTTTAATACATACACTGTGCTTTGTGGGGGTTAACTTTCTCAAGAAACATCGGGGTGAAAATCCTTGGCCTGATTTTATAAAGGGGATGGAGTGAATATACTTGGCAGGTATCTTAAAACTAGGCTGCCGGACCAGCAGCTCAGAAAGGACCAGGTCTTTGCTTCACTGACCTAGAGCTATTGCAGCTGCAGGATTGCCTTGCCCTCACTTACTTGCTCATCAGATACAACTGTGAAACTGAGACTCAGCTGAGTGTGTTTGCTTGATACTTGTCTTCTGCTTTTACAATGATCGTTTCTGCCACTACTGCACTGATGTTCTCTGTGAGGAAGGTCTTTGTCTTTAGTAGAATTTTACAGTTTTTTTGTCTCCAGATAGTTCTTTATATCTTTTCCAGCAAGAATGTTGTATTCTTTATTTCGAAATGTATTGAATGGTGCAATACCTCTGGATTGAAAGGCAAATATCTAAGCTTTATAATATTCATCTATCTAGATGTGTGAGCCTGGATTTGAATAGACATAAACAGGCTCAAATAGCAAACACTCCACCCTTACATAAACTGAGGAGAGTTCGAAGGACATCCTGCTTAAGGCAGGTCTGACTTTAGAAAGCAGATATGTTCTGGGTGAGTCAGTATCTGTGCAAATCCCCATTTTTCAGGGCTGTGTTGTGCAGAAAGCAACCTCTTGGGAATAAGAATGGTAGATGAGAGGTCCAGAATGTTGTATATAGGAACTGTTCTAGTCTTAAGACATGCCAGCACAATCAGCCTGGCTTTTGTTAGCAGGAACTCGGAATCATGGGGGCTTAAGGGAGCTGCATCTCTTTCTCCCCGACCTCTTCCTCCGACCCCCTGCAAGTTTATCCAAAACTGCATTGCAGCATAAAGATTTGAGTTTGCTGGCTCCAGTGTTGCAAGATGTTACTGCTTTATCTGAGCAAATATTGATGCTAGATATACATCACATGAATTGATTCCATGATTAGAAATTTGTCTTGACTCACTGGCTTTTTAGAAATTATGAAATGGAAAATTTTGCATAGGAGTCTGTGGACTTTGCTTAGGAGTGTGTTAAATAACAAGTAGGAAAAATACAGAAACCATTTGTAGTTCAATCTTGTGCTATTGTGTGTGTGTGTGTGTGTTATAGTATAGGAATCATGACCAGGTCATGACTGCTCTGATAAATAATGCTTTATTTTAGTCCTCATACAATGTCAAATGTTGTAAGCTGTGAAAAACCCTCACTTCCCTCTGGCATCACTAGCAGTATGTAACGAAGCATGGGAAATTAATAAGGCAGACTGAACATATTAGTGAGAAAGGCTGTGACTGGCAGAGCCGAAGGAAGTGCAAAAGTGTTGAAGTATATTCTGAAAGTGTTCCTAGGCGGAACAGAAGGGTTGTCAACGATGAATTTAGGATGTGGAAATGTCCTTTGAAAGGACTGGATAATTAGGAAATATTTTCTGTTCTGTTAATAGAGGAGGAAGGCTTTTAAATCTTGTCTCTCAAAGGTGAACGCTTTTTAATCATGGTCATGGATGAAAGTCATTGCCCTAGCTGACAGCTTTCTGCATATTTAAAAACAAGACAAAACAAGACTTTCTGAGCTTTTTTGATCTTTCACCAATAAAGTAGGATGATTTATAAAAAATTTTATGGTGGAGGAGAGGGGAAGGCTAAGCTGAAGAAGCAAGTTTAGTCTTCAAGAAAATCAGACTTATGATCATACTTGTCTCTTCTAAACGAGTTCTCAAAATCCAGTCCCTTGTGTTATGCTGGTGTCTGTCAGCAAAATATCTTTATTTGGAATGGAACTCTGTTAATGGAACTCTGTGTTCCTCCAGAACACAGTGTGCTCTTCCAGTTCCTACTCCTGGATATAGCTTCCTTTTTTTTTTTTTCCTGTGGAATATGTTGAGAAGTTGCAGCTGGAAACGGGATTTTCTGCTCCCTAGAGAGCCAGTGTAGAAAATGGACCTCTGGGGTGGAAATACTGAAGATGTCCAATGCTGCCAAGCTCCAATAACAGCCTGAAGCATTTCAGTGAGTGGACTTAATCCTTAGGCACTATCTCATAATCATTAGCTGTATTTTCAGACAATTCTAGCTAATTCTGCAATACAGCAACAGTGGCTGCTGCTCCCGCTCCAGCAGGCGCCCGGCAGCCTCTGCCCGTGCTCGTTCTGCGGCGGGTCAGGAGCTGTGTAGAGAAGCAGGGAGGGTTTTAAGTATGTGTGGCCAAGTGCATCGTGCACCGCTCGGCTTGTGTGCTGCTAAAACCAAACCATGTGTGCACGTGCGAGCCATGGCTTCGTAACCGAGGCTGTTTCCTGGGTTGCAGGAGCAGTCTACATTTGTACGGAAGACGCGTTCCCAAGCAAGCGACTACAGCAGCTCATAGATCAGCAGCAGAAGCTGCGGGCGGACGTTCCAGCTGAAATCATACAGAAAATCAAATTTGGAAACAGTATTTTCATTGAGCATGCAGCAGACCTAGTAAGTAGTGGCACAACTTGCAAATAAGTCATTATAACGCTATAACTTTTGTTTGTTTGTTCTGGATAAAACCATAAGGCACTTCCTAAACATTTTTACCAGCAAAATTTACAGATCCACAAACTCACTGTATGATCAGCACCTCTTATCAGCTTACATTTAACTGATAAGAACTGCAGTTACTATCTTAATCTTAAAACTCTTACGTGAAGCGCTTCAATGTGAGATGTTGGTGGTTTGTGACAGGACACCTTCCACAACTGCATCACCAAGAGGGTGTCTCTGCTGCTCACGCGAGGGATGGTGCGGCTCGTGGTCATCGACTCCATCGCGGCTCTGTTCCGCTGCGAATTCGGGGTCTCGGATTCCGTGCTCAAGGCTCGGTACCTGCAGACGTTTGGAGCACAGCTGCACACTCTAAGCACTAAGTTCCGGGCTCCAATAATGTGCATTAACCAGGTATGACATCAAAAATCCTTCTTGCTTTGCAGGGCCGTTAAATCGTTGTTGGGGAGGATTTGTGCAGACAGGTTTGTAAGTGTTGCTTTGTAAGGGACACCGACAACTTGAGTCTTAATGACAGGTAGAAACTTCCAGTTTCTTTAGTTTACTTTAAACTAGTAAATTTTAACTTTTTCAAAATTTAAGAATATCGTTTAAGCATGACAGGACAGGCCTTCAGAAGTAGTAAATGCGCTGGGAATTAGAGACCTTTTGGAGATTTGGGTATCAGTACCTCTTACCTACACATATAAAAAGATACTGTTACTAACTAAAGTAGAGGAATGGTGTGAGGGGTGGGGTTGGTGGGTTGTTTTTCTTTAGTTTTAACAGATTCAGCATCTAATAGTAGCTACCTTCACATAAACTTAATCTAGCTAAATTGTTGAAACACTGTAAACTAAGGAAATACTTCACAACTCCTTTTAATTTGCCTTGAAAGAATAAGGGTTTTATAAATATGATTCAATGATTTGGATTTTACTGACTTAATTCCCTTTACTTCTCTTTGCCAAAACCAAATGCATAACCACAGTGAACTTCAAATGTTACTTTTCTGGTGTAGGTGACGGATGCAGTGAGTGAACCAGAAGCTGCTCAGTGCAGCTGTAGGTAAGTGCCCTGCTGCCACGTGAAGCGCAGCACTGCCCGACACAGGGACAATTACCCAGAAGATTTCTCTTTAACTCCCGTGGAAGATATAGGAACATACTAAGAGCTGTGGTGGGTGTGCCCAACAAGTTGTATTTCCTGGAGGGCAGTAATAGCTGTAAATGCTGTAAATTGGAGGGGAAAAAAATAGTAAGCAGTTATGGGGCAGTCCCTTACCACAGGGAATATGTTAGGGTAAAAACTCCCTGGAGTTCACAGCTGCTGCACTTGGTAGCATGGTGGGAGGATTTGTGTCTCATCTTGCTTCTGCTCTAACTTCTTTTTTAATATAATCAAACTCAAGATGCTTCATATTAAACCCATACATGTGGAAATCTGTAATGTTTCCTCCTGTAGTACAGCAGATAACAGAGTTTATCCAGCGCTTGGAATAACCTGGGCAAATCAACTGCTGATGAGACTGATGGTGAGCCGAGTGTCGCAGCCGGAGCAGTCGTCCGGAGCCGCGTTACAGCACGCTGGAGGTCTGAGGACTTTAAGAGTCGTCTTTGCTCCTCATCTCCCTTCATCCTTTTGCTACTATACAGTAAAATTGGAAGGTGTGAAAGGAATAAATCCATTCCATAGTATGGCATCCTGCTTCAAAAGTTGACAGAACTTCCTTTGCTACAGGAGGAGTTGTAGTAACCCGCGGTTGTTCATGGATGAGAAATGGATCCTCAAATACACAGCAGGTGGCACGGCCGTACATTTTAAAGCTGCTTCTCCACTGGGAAAAGCTGCTGTTTCTGTATTTAGATATATCCTCAGCTTTTCATCGTGAGAATGAGGATTCTGAAGGAGCGTAAAGCTGTGGGCAGGCAGAGAGCGTAATGTGTGATGTCGAGAGCCCTGTGTTGAGGAGACTTAACTTTTAATTCTTTCAATAGCACAATACTCTAGAACAGGAGAACTGCAATCACCCACCTTTTCTGCCTCCAGACTGGAAAGAGGCTCAAATTCAACCAGTTACTGCTACCTACTTGTGTTTCTAGTCCTCATGTTGCCATGAAGTGTAGCCATTTTTCTATTTTTAGTACCTCAGAAATAGCCTTTGTCACAAATCAGCCGGCCTCCTTTTAACAGAAGCACTCGTTCTTAATGTTAAACAGGAAGAAAGACCTTGAACTACTTTATAATTTTAATGAAATTACTTTTTACCAATTTTGGACTGTGTGGGCCGAGCTGACTTCAGGTAACTTCTGTGTGTTTGCACATTTGGATACCGGATTAAAGGGGCACAGAAGCGACGGTAGCCGAGAGGCAAAGCAGACCCAAAAGGCCTGGACGTGCTTCAGCCCGCGCTTTGGCCACACTTCCCCCTTTCCAGCTCGCTCTCGTCACAGCAGAAGCCCCTTTAGCTTCTTCTCTGCATACAAACCAGCGCATCCCGAGCCCCTCGTGTTTGCCTGGGTCTGCATCTCACCCGTGGTAACCAGACGCTCTCAGAGCATGAGCTCCCTTCACGGGCTGGGCTGTGCTGCTGGCTGTGTTTTGGAGGGTGCCCTTGGTGCTCCTGACTCTTCTGGTTTTCCTCCTTTCCTGGAGCATCTGACTCTTTTCTGAGGGACTTTTGCCCTTGCTGTTCACCTCAGGGTGGGCTCCTTGTCTTACTCTTCCTCTCTGCATTAGCTTGGTCAAAACCCAAAGCAACTCACCCCGAGCTCTGTAGTGTAGCCTGGTGCTCCGTCTCTCTCTACCCATCAAGGTATCAGTCTAACATTTTCCTGACAGTCTCCTACTGAGGTTATCAGACCTAAACCAGCTTTCTTTTTTTTTCCCTTGCTATTTCTGATATGCACCAGACTCTGCTGGTGTCTGCCACTTATTTCTGTGCATTATCAGTGATTGCTGCATGTCCTTACAGCGAGGCTGCTCCTACATCTCACTGTGTTTCTGAATGGCACCCTTAGCTGTTTGCCTCCAGTCACACTGCCACAACTCTCTTTTCAGGGACCAGTTTCCTTTTATTCTAGCCATCACTTGCATTATATTCATATAGTCTGATGAAAGAAAGAGAAAGCCTGATTAAACATTACTTAAGTGCATTTTCCAAAGACATCAGCCCTCATGTTGCCCTGCTGCGGGTGTTACTGGTGTCAGATGCTGGTTCAGCACCCAGCGCTTTCTCCTCTCCCTGCTTTCCTGCGTAAAGGCTGTTTCTGTCCCATTCTGGCCTTTTGTTTTCCTTTAAAGTTACATTGCTCCATTAGCAGAAAGGCTGAATGAGAACATTCCGTTCTCCACAGTCTCCATAACAAAAATCCCCTTAGGGTGAGTACAGGGGACCCCACTTCTGTATTCAGGAAGTTTTTAGCAGTGTGAGGGCATTGAGCATCTTCCCTCAGTGCCATCACTTAGCAAAATCCAGAATTGCTCCTTTTTCATTCCTCAAGTACTTCAGATCAGTGACAGCTGTTTCCTGGTGGAAACCTTCCTTTCCCCTGTCCCCCAGTCCTACTCTTCAAGGAGGCCTCTGTGTCCTGCCCTGCAGCCGGGCAGCAGGAAGGACCCAGGGCAGCTGTTAGAAGAGCAGCCAGCTCCGACGTGGGAAGCAGGGAAGAGAGGCACGGGATGGGATGGAGCTGGGACTGTCGTGGGGAGGCTCTGCAGAACAGCAGCCACAGGGAAGGACATTTGAGATGTTTTGCAAGAGCATAACTGCAATTGTCTTTTCTGGCCTTTTTAAAAATGTCGTCTTATTCATCTCTGTGTATTCAAAACTGACCATGCTATTTTTTTTTTTAATAAAATCCATCCATAAGAATTAAAGGTCATTCTGTGTATTCACACTTGCTGCAACGCAGAGCCCTGGCTACCCCGAATGTCCCACCTGCTCCTTGAAACAAAGTTTAACAAGGACCAGCACAGGCAGCAGAGGCAGCCGGGCCTGCTCCAGGCCAGGGCCTGGGATGTTGCACAGGGTGCTGCACATCCTGCCATCATAACCCCCTACGACAATAAAGCTGGGGCTGCAGTTGGCTTGGGAACGGCTGAGGAGGCAGCGGCCGATTCCTCGGACAGGGCCTCGTTCCAGGGCCTCCCTGGAAGCAGCGACTTCCCTTCGCTCGCAGGTCTCCCGTCTCCGTTCTGGGATCCTGCGGCTCTGCAGCTGCCCTCCTCAGTCCGTGTTAGGAACCGGGGCAGTCCCTCCCTGTCACACAACACCTGCAGCCCTGGCATCAGGTGGCATCAGCCCCTCCACTGGGGCAATTTGCAGTTTTACTGAAAATAGTTAAACGGTCCCTCCCTTTTGGAGTTTAAGAGCCTGTGAAGACTGGATGTCTCGGGTTATTCTGAGAAGTATCCACATACCGGCCCTGCACAAAGTCTTGCAGCAACATTTATTCTCCATTTTGAAATCATGGCTTTTGCAGTAGTGGTTTTATGTAATAAATGCAGTCTATTTACAAACCTTCCCTTTATACAGCTTTATTCATCTTTGGATTTCACAATTGAGATTTGCTTTTATACAAGAAAAAAATCCAAATAAGTAGTTTTTACATGAAAGATTTACATTCTAGAATGTGTAAGTATAACCATCTTTATCCTGTAAATCCGTTTAAATATTTTATTTTCTACAAATCAAAATAAATGCTAAGTGACATTTCAGAAACTTTTAAGACAACTTCAGATTAATCTACAGTTCAGTGAAGTCAAAAAGGGGCTTTTTCAGCAGAAACATAATATGCAGTTCTAGAAACATTGCTTTGGAAAACTAAAATAGTCAAACTAGGTTATTTTTCTGCAAAGATAAATTTACACAACTGACATATTAACAAAACAGATGTAGTAAAACAGATTTAAGTTTAATCCCATTAGAAGTTCCTTGACTGCATAACTCTGAAGTGCTATTTGGTTACAAGTGACATTTGCAGAATTTTATTTTCAAAGTTTATGGGGTAAGAACAAGCAGGTGAAATCCAAATTGCTTCTGCCATAGCCGTGACAAACAGTAAGTGCACATGGAGATCAAGCTACAGCATCGTAAAGTCAAAGATAGAAGATATTTTTTTAATTAAATACAAGATCCACATATCAAAAAAACATTTTTTTTCCCCAGGATTAATAATCTGACATTACTAAAGATGGTTTGCTGGTTTTATTAGATTTTAGGTTGTTTTTTTACCATTACTGATTGCATCAAAGCTAAGCTACATGGTGTAATTATATCACAGCCTGCAAACACTCCAGTCAACAAACATCTGAACTGAAGACTCAACCGTGGCTCGAGTGCAGCTGATGAATACAGAGAGCCTAAGGACCACTCTTGCTCTATGACATTTTATTATCCTTCTTCCACACCATATACTGTTTTTAGTCTATTTTACTTCATTGTTTTATGCTTGTACAGCCCTAGAGCAGCTTGAAGAGCTTTTAGATGTAGCTGAAGTATTAAATCTGTCAGCTATGATTCTCCAAATACCTCTTATTAGAAAAACAGACTATAGACACATTTTGCCACTTCTCCATCCAAATAAACCTCTATTTTCTCAAAAACTTAGATCTTTTGAGCTCAACCAAAAAAAACATGTGCTTTTGTTTTTTTTGTTTTTTTTTTGTTTTTTAAATTATTGACCTTGACTATTCAGAACACTGAGACTATTGTAAATAGCTTGAAATAATCAAGCACAGATGTTCAAAACTTCTCCCAAATTAATCATTTTTTAGAAAAGCCAACATTTATTTCCATACGTCTATAAAAGTATATCTGTGATAATGCAAAGTCGTTAAAATAAAACTGTAAACTTCACCATTTTCTAGCTTTATTCTCTCAGTACAGGCTGCCATTACCAAAAATGCAACTCTCCTAGCAGCTTTCAGACAAAATATGACCTGCATCTTGAAACCTCAATTAATTTGAGCCTATCAGGTACTGTAAACACACTGTACGTGAAGCACTGCACGATCCTTTTGCTGTACATTCACAACACAACCACCCTATTTTCTAAATTGCTGGAATCAAACTATATAATGTAACCACAAATACTTCCCAAGCCTGAAACCATTTGAAATTACTATCATTCATGGGGAGCTTCGGGGTTTCTGTTGTATTTTAAGATACAAACTTTACGAATCATGTCCATTGGTTATTTCATTCTATCAACTGCTACGTGCTGTCATTACGGTGCTGCTACCAGAAGTCACACACCATTAGTTCAGTTATTCCCCTGGAAGAGGAGAAAATTATTATTGTAAAATATAACACTTGTGTATTTTATAATCTCTACGCTCCAAATAAGTATTGCTGATATTGCTAAAAACCGGTGCAAAACCATGCAGGTAAGAGGGGAAGGGCACCCACCTCTGCACGATTCTTCCTGCACGTGAGCCCGTCCAGCCCAGAAGAGCAGCCCCTGGGAGCCCAGGGGGAGGCTCCCGGACTGCCTTAATCTGAGCTCCTCATCCCCTCCTTAGTAAAGCTGGCGCCTACTGCTCTGAACAGAGGGAAACAGGGCAGATTAACAGCAAGCAGTTACTGCCAACGCCTGCAGCTTCCCTGACGACATCTGTCAATTTTGACGCTCTTTATTAATCTTTTTATCAGGTTTGTTACGGAAGACACCCAGGATTTACATGGCCAACCGGCCATTTCATTTTCACACTTTTTGCCAACTGTTAACCGCAA